CTCGGTTCGTTTGCAAAGTTGTAATGGGGATCAGTGCATGGTTGTCTAGCGTGATGTGTATGTCACAAAAGGTCTTCTGGAGATGAAGGGAACTGCTCACCTTTAAACAACATTAAAAATAAAAATAAACATTTGCTAAATGCGTGCAACAATATCAGGAGTATTGCTAAGATTAACAATTCATTAACAAACACAGACATTTGGATTTGACTTTCTATCATTAAAAAGGCAGAATGTATGTATTAACAAAAAGTATTCAACAACTTGATCGAATAGAATAACAATCGTTTTCACTTACGTTGAGGCTAATAGAGCTGCAATTACTTTAGTTTGTGAACATTTCATTTAGGTTATCTCTGTATTTATCATTGAAAGTATAATTATGAGCAACACATTACACTTACTTAAGTCTGTAAACAAGAATTGTAGAGTGAAATTCAATATGACCTTCCGAAAATGTACAGCCCCAACCCCCAGCCAAACGCACCAATTTTTATAACTGACTTAATTATAAGTAGTAGGGTCTAGAACAGCTATGATTCGGCGTTCAGATGTGTTTATAGTTTCCCTTACATTTTGTTAATTTTTTCTAACTATAAAAGCTAAAATGAGTTAAAACATGCGCTAACACCAAATCGAAATGAAGTAGTGATATTGCGGTTCCTATCACAGCTGTCCGTAGTAATAAGTGGCAATCCAAGCACAGTAATGCGATTTGGCTCGTTATCAAATTTGTAAAAGGAAATCAGTGCATGAAGCCTTGTATGTTTTAAGACTTCAGTTTTAGGTCATCGACCAAAACTTCAATTAATGCAAAAACAACAAAATGCGGTTTTCACTTCTACTTTATATTAAAAAAAAGCATTAACAACAACAAAATCGAATAAGGATAACAATATGGTATTAAATGGATGCTCACATATAGTATGGTAAGTTAACTCAACATCAATTTTAGGAGCAATATCAATCATGTATTTAATAGTATTATGTATCGAATATATAGATATCTTCCATAAAGTTTAAAATATTTGTTATTATGATATTATATCACTTATACTATACATATCATTTTTTTAAAAGTACAAATCAACGGCATATGCTTGCATTTAGAATAAGGACCAAACATCTTTCAGATAACTGCTTTTGTAGCACATTGTATCAAAACCTTTATGACCATTATATAACCATAATCCTATTAATTTATTTTTTAAATCTTTCTGCAAACAGTTATTTTCGTTAGTTTTTCATATTTACAGTTAGGCTTCAGGATTAAGCGGGATTATATTAATCATTCAACACATTTTGTATCTTTAGCAGAACCCATCAATACGAGCAAGTCGTCTGCGTGCATCATCGGGAACAAACTACATTCTCAAAATGTATAATCCATTCGAAATCAATACTTTTGTATCAGCGAAAAACATCTATTTGTGTTCCATTGAGCATAACACATGATTCACTCATTTTTGTACTTTTTTGAGTACTTTTGAAACTGAAGTATTGCTTTACTCATTAATATAATATATATTATAATCATGGAAACACCTTCAATTTGTTGCTCAAGATGTTCCTCCTCAGGGCAATGTCCATGGTATATCATTATTGTTTTTCTTTTTACTTCAGTTGTGATTTTGTCCACTGTCAAGACTGTTGATCTATATATTTAAATGTTTAAAGAATGAATAAGCATGGAAAAATCCTTGCTCGGGAACGCTTTTACATGAAATTAAATATGTAGACTGGCAGCCGTCCCTAGAATATTAAACTCTTCAGGAATTAGACTCCAACAATTTTGATCATTTTGATGTCTGATTTGTAGACTAGTTTCCAAGTATTTAATCATTAAAAAAAAATAGACTTTAAACATTTCAATCACTTGAATGTCTGATTCTGAAGACTGGTCAAATGCAGATAAGGTTTGTAATTTTACCCAAGATGTTGGCTATTTGTAGGCACGACCACATCCTTTCTGATGACTTGATATTGGTCCAACTCCTTTTACTGACTACACACAGGCATCATTGGCCTATCCTATATTAAATAAACATGAGATAATTGAACTTAGGTGTATAAGTAAGTTCTCTGATGTTCTTTGGAGGCATTATCAAAATAAGATTCTTTATTGTGAAATGCAATTACAAAACCATTCCGAAATCAATTCTTATGTAGGACATATCATTCTTATAAATGCTGATGATATTTTGTTCAAATAGATAAGACTCCAACTAACACATCAGTGTGCAAGGCACATATTTCTAGTAAAGATGTATTTTGAAGCCTGGACAGGCATTATGTTAAATATAATACGGGTTGTTTATCTTTCAATAAAGCTGAAAGTAGCTGAAAATTAGCTGTATTTGCTTTACAGTAATTTTACAAATTCGTAAAAAACGACTACATTAATATCAGAATGCTTCTTTTCCATATCAGGATGTCTCCCGCTCAGGGCAGTAGACGTTCTATTATCTATATTTTGAAGATAAAATACTTTTGACATAGTTTAATTTCTGTTTCTAAATAATATTAAGCCATCTCTTACCTATGCGCATTGGCCTTTGCCAGCTGTGGTATTTGGTCCATTTATTTGAATAAAATGAGCACGTGGTTTCCTGATCAGGATGCCCCCGCTCAGGACCGTAGACGTTCTAATATATATATATGGAATATAAAATACTTTAGACATAGTTTTATTTCTGTTTCTAGATCACATTCAGCCATCTCTTATCTATGCGCATTGCCAACTATTGTATTCGATGAATTTATTCGAATATAATGAGCACGTGGTTTCCTGATCAGGATGGCCCCGGTCAGGACCGTATACGCTACTAGCTATATAGTTACAGACTATACGGCTTATAACAATTCTTGTAAGTCGGGGTTCTATTTCTCAATTAATGCGACTTCTCTAATGACAATATACACAGCGATCTATCTTTAGTTTATAAATGTTTATATCTATATATTGGAAAAGTTGACTTTTTTTCCTGATCATGATGTCCCCGCCGAGGACCGTGTTCGTTATAAGAAGTATGTTTTAAGTATTTCATTGTTGAAGTAAACTACTTTCCTATTTAAAAATCATTATATGTGACGCTAATCTTGGCCATTCGCATTGTCTACTTTGTGTAGTCGATGAATAACCATATAAATTATTTCCATTTGATTTCCTGATCAGGATGGCCCCGGTCAGGACCGTATACGCTACTAGCTATAGTTATAGATTATACTGCTTATAAATAACCATTCTTGTAAGTCAGGGTTCTATTTCGAAATTAAAACGGCTCCTCTAATGACAATATTCACTGCGATCTATATTTTGTTTATAAATGTAATTATGTATGCAAACAAATATGATTTTATTTCCTGATCATGATGGCCCCCGCCCAGGACTGTGTACGTTTTGAGATGTAGATATAGAGTATTCCATCAATGATGTCATGTATTTTTCATTTAAAAATCAGTATGATGCTTCTCTTGACCGTTCGCATAGCTAGCTTTTTGTACTTGATCAATAACTACGTAAACAATTTCCATTTTAGATTCTGATCAGGATGCCCCCCGCGCGGTCAGGACCGTAGACGTTCATATATATATATATATGGAATATAAAATACTTTAGACATAGTTTTATTTCTGTTTCTAAATCACATTCAGCCATCTCTTATCTATGCGCATTGCCAACTGTTGTATTTGATGAATTAATTCGAATATAATCCTGATATATATTCCCGATCAGGATGGCCCCGGTCAGGACCGTATACGCTACTAGCTATATAGTTATAGATTATACGGCTTATAACAATTCTTGTTTGTCGGGGTTCTATTTCTTAATTAAAACGACTCATTAAAAAAACCCATTATGATGCTTCTCTTGACCGTTCGCATTGTTATTTTTTATTTCCATTTAAATTCCTGCTTAGGATTTTTTTATTAGTATGCAACTCGAAGATAAAATATTATAGACATAGTTCAATATCTATTTCCCAATCATATTTACTCATCTCTTGACTCTAATAACTGTCACCTTTATGTATTTGATTCATTAATACGGATATAATGAGAACTTGATATATTGATATAGGTGTCCCTGTTACCTGTTACCGGTTACGTTCCAATATCAACATATAATTAAAAAGATTGACGATTGATTTGATGCTTTTTTTCTATTTCAAAATCACCTCTCTTGACTGCAAACTTTGCTGCCTTCATATATTTTATAAATAACTACGGATAGATTTACACTTTATCGTGGAATTCAAAGATAAAATATTATAAATATAGTTTAATTTGTATTTCTAAACCATCTTATTCCTCTCTTTGACTGTAAACACTGCCACCTTCATGTATTTGATCCATCAATACGGATATAATTAGTACTAGATTTCCTGATCAGGATGTCCCTGCTTAGGACCGTTAACGCTCACAGCTTAGGTTATAAACTATACTGCATATAACCATTCTTATAAGTCGTGGTTCTATTTCCTCAATTAATACAACCATTTAAATGACCATATACACTGAACATTATCTTCCTTTTAGTTTATAAATGTATAAATGAAAAATATCTTCGCTATTTCCTGATAAGAATGTCCCAGATGAGGACCGTATACACTATAAAATGTAGTTATAAGATATCCAACTGTTATATCATGCTCCAAGTCCGGACGACTTATCCCATCTTGACGGTCCTCACCAGGCCCGGTCCTGCTCAGCCCCGGTTCCAGTGAGAGACAGCGCAGCTGTCTGACGCCACTCATGTAAGGGAGACAACTGTTGGACCGTTTTCGTTTAAACGGTCAAACCGGTCGGACCACTGTTGTTCGTTTATTAAATAAGGTCGGACCTAGCAATCTGATGCTGCTTTCAGGCGAGCCTTGACAAAGCCTTGCAAGGCCTGCATAAACATTTGCAGGTCCGTCTAGATTTATACCCGAAATTGTTACATTTATAAACGGTCAAACCGGTTGTTCCGCATAAACGAACAGGCCCCAGGAAATGATTACGACATGACACCTGGTAGAATGCAGTTTGATGGCTGCCTGTGATCTTCCTAAATCCATGACCAGTAAATGTGACATTAGTAAGAAGGTATGTGACTTAAACAGTGATATACAATAACACATAGTAAATATGTAGTCTTTGTTGGAAACGTTACTTTCCAACAATATAGATTTCTTAACAAATTGTTTAGCAGTTCTAACAAAGATAAAAACAACATATTCACATATAAAATAATGATTATGATAACAATAACACATAGGTTTCGTATTAAAATTGATAATAAGTAATATCTCTAACAGTCTATGCTATTTTTAGTTTAGAATTCCGTTAGACTTAGATTGTACTCATTTCCATGTTACGTATACACTAACCGAAAGTTAATTGCTTCCTACCACAATGTTGTGTTGTTGTGTATTATTAAGTTATCATAAACAATGTTAGGTACAACTGTTACATAACAGCTAACTTGTTTTTGGATTTTCCCCTTTGATCAATAATTTAATAATGTATATAAATCGATAAAAGTATACATCATAACAAGAGACCCAATGGGCCTGCATCGCTCACCTGGTATTAATCTCACACTTGTGTTCTTAAAGGCCAAGGACGACTTAGTTTAAAATCTGTACGGAGGCGGAGTCTAGCAGCTCTTATCAGTAAACTCCCTAGCAAACACAAACACGTGGGCATACATGTGCCAGGCCACTAGCTCATAACAGGTCTTTGAGATTGCATGCTAAAATAAAGTCTACATACATCCCAAAATCATATTATTTTAGTTCTACCAACACAGATTGATAACTCATCAATCAGACACAGTCTTCATCATTCTGTTCCATATGTTTGACCTGTAAGTATAGCTCAATGTACTATAGACTTTTTTCCCTTTTGCTGTTCTCCATGCATTGTGAATGTTTTTCGATTGAGAGATGTGTATTTACGGTCTACATTAAAAATAATAATAGAATATATATCCGTCTATCAGCACAAGGACAACATAATGGATACATTAGATATTGAATACATATATATGATTGATATTGAAATATTTTGTTGTTGTTATTAAAAGTCTGAAAATCATGTCAGATATAATTTTCAGACTTTTTAAATAAAAAATATTTCAATTAAATATGATCAGCTTCAAGCTTAGAAATACTGCCAATACTACTCAGAAACAGACTATACTCCTTTAACCATTATTCTTTTCTCCATGTTTTTTTAAAAGTGGGAGAATAAGCCAAGCGTCTATATAATTATTACCAAGAATTTTACTAATAAACAAGGAAAAAAAAGTTTTTTTTTTTTTAGATACGGACCCTAGAAGAATTAAAGGCCCTAGACCAGTATCAGTATGGTTCAGACAGCAGTGTCCAATCAGGAATATAGCCAGGGCTCACCTGATCTTTGTTTTACCTGAGCCTATTGTTCTGTGTGGTGACCACCCCCACCAAACAGGAGTGGGCTGTACCATTTGGAAAAAATACCTGGTAATATTTATATAGACGCTTGGCTTATTCTCCCACTTTTAAAAAAACATGGAGAAAAGAATAATGTTTAAAGGAGTATAGTCTGTTTCTGAGTAGTATTGGCAGTATTTCTAAGCTTGAAGCTGATCATATTTAATTGAAATATTTTTTATTTTAAAAGTCTGAAAATCATAGACATGATTTTCAGACTTTTAATAACAATGTTAAAATAAAAAATATTTCAATATCAATCATATATATGTATTCAATATCTAATGTATCCATTATGTTGTCCTTGCGCTGATAGACGGATATATATTCTATTATTATTTTTAATAATTACATTTTCAGAGTGCTTGTGTAACAACAAACAAAATTATTCCCAAATACATATAAAAGTTGTTCATTATGTATAATCTGTTTTTTTAATACCCAAATACTGTTTTTGTGGACTAAATTATATTTAAGTTTTAATAAATACCTGGGAACCAAGGTCTAATCTAAGATTAGGTGTTATGCTCCTGAAAATTAGGCCATGTTCCTGAAAACTAGGCCATGACCCGATAATTTAGACATGGTTTTAAAATGTAAATAATTCTCTAATAATTTAGACTACGTTACCATAATTTAGGCCACGGATGTACAACTTAGATGGGTTTTCATTAAGCTAGACCATGAGATGATTCGGAGACGAGCATCTGATCTCCCATACAAACGCGACATACCTAGCAACATTTTTTTTACATTTTTTGTGAAGACAAGTCAGCAACAAACTCCACAACCTGTTGCTGGGTATATAAAAATCCGTGAAATCTAGCACATCACGTTTGGAATGGTGCGCTAGCATTGTATACGGAGCTGTAATTTCGTTTATAATACCGGACCCTAAGACTGTCAAAAGATCCGGAGTACGGATCGGAACTTCAGAATATTTATTTTTATTTATTTGCTGAGCATTAAATGCTACTTAATTTTAACGTTAACCAAATATCAGTATTGGGACACGATAAAGAATTGAAGTTTTTGTTGATATGAATGATAACATGACATAATTTTGCCTTTTCCACATTAAAATATGAAAAGGCAAAATGGGGGTGGGGGACGGAGTTCTATCTCCAAGTGGACAAAATTGCGAAATTTTCATCGTGAACCCACTATTTTAAAGGGAATGGATTGCCATGAAAAATGCATAAATACAGCAAATACAAATATTTTTGTTTTCGATAGTACAACACATAATGTTTAAAAACATTCAACTTGGTGGTACCTTAAATTTTGTAAATATTATAGAAAACATATTTTTACTTAATTTTCATATTTTGTTGGAAACTTTAAGAAAAGTGGCTACCTTTCAGCTCAAATATCTCAAAAAGTAAGTCTATAATCCAATTGTGTCTTTTCATATATGGAATCTACGTAAATAATTCAAGAAAATAAGCATAATTAGAAAAATATGACATTGGTTTTTCCAAAAGTATGAACCCACCTTCAACAATTTTGCATTATAAAGTACATAGTATGCTTATAAATACTTATTGCAACATTGTTTATAAAACATAAAATTATTAACTACGTACATTTGAAAGGTAGGATAGATACATGTAACAATATTCACATACACCGTTTTCCAGGAGGAGTGATATTTTTTGTTTTATAAGAAATAAATTGCCATTCCATATTTACTCATGGTAGAACATAATAAAGCATAATAAGCATAATAACAGCACAACACACCTTAAGTATAATTACAATGTGCAACATTTTCAGTTCATATTGTTATTATATTCTTTAAATATATGGGAAACAACTGTAAGACAAATCAATGGCTATGTATCTTACATCAATAAAATATAACCAGGATGTTTAAAAAGTTTCACCTGTTAAAGGACACAGCAACAGGAAAGCAGTATGAACAAGGAATATCACAGACTGTATCAGTGTGTATGGCGATAGTAAGAAAGTACGTTAATCAATAAGGAACCTCTATATCATACAAAAATCTAGGGTCTTTGTTAAATACACAATTAGCTAAACGATACAGGCTTCAAGACAAATTGTTTTGCATTTCTTACCTAAACAAAAATACATTCATGTACAGAATAATACTATTAGTTACACACTAACAAACTGTATAACGAATTTATCCCGTCGAAGGCCCTTTGGATAAAAAAACTGCAAAATAATACAAAATTCAACATTTATTCCAACAATAACAATTTTAACATATAAAATTTAATACATAATTTGTTAACAACAACAAAAATTTAACAAAGATAATTCGGTATTTCACAAATATTAACATTTCATCGGCTGTCGTCTGCAAACACCGCTTGGTCGCCATCTTGTTACCAGTTGACTCTTATGGGCAAAGAACGATAACTCTTTTGTACTCACCTAATGTGAGATTCTACTGACCTAATATGAAAATATACTGGATATCATGTGACGTCGTTTTAACCAATAGGACTACAGGATTTTTGCCTGAGGCGGGATAATATGATATATAGGTCGTATATGTTATGCATTGCTATTGATAATAGGTAATATTCTATGATATATGTAGTTGTAGATTTCCCGCCTGATTCTGTATTTCTATGTTCAGTGTATATAATTCAATGTTACATATACACTAATCGAAAGGTATTTGCTACCTACATGTTGTTGTGTAGCTATGTGTTATATGTAATCATAAATTGGGTTCAGTATTACTGTAATAGCATCTCGCTTGATTTATGGTTTTTAATGCTTATCAACATATTAATATATGAACCGATAGAAGTACCTAGAACATGGAGTAGAATTTACTTTGTAAACTCTTGTTTATTACGTTGTCTTTCAACACGTTATCACATTCCTTAGGAAGTCGCAATGCAGTGTGATGAATTTATTTGTCATTTCCTGTCAGAAACTTGCAACTGGTGTGAAATTCCAAACAGTCTGTAAATATTGTTTGTTGAACTATGCTTTTTCAGTGGAGTTTTATTTTTTATCGATTCTAGCAGGAGAAATGGAATACCATGTATCTACTGGACGCTTAAGTTACCTCAGAGGTACGTTGTATCTGACATCATGGTTGATGTTTACAACACACAGATATGAATTTACATTGAACCTCAATGTTTTATTTCCCTGGCATCATGGAATAGAGACATTGTATTACTTGTATCTATGTAATTATTCGGGAATAAATGCAATTTTAACTAACAACAAACCCTGGATGATCTTGATAATTGAGATTACTTATTTCTATGACAAATAAAAGGTATGTTCAATATGTGTTGTTGATTAATTCTCATGAAAATCTTTGCATGATAAACTTAATCAAAAAGATATCCATTTATCCCAGGACAGCGCAGAAAGGAAAATTTGGCCGTCGTATCGAATAATTTTATTCGCTTGTTTTGAAGGTATCCTTTGCGCAATTTGCTCGGACAAATATAAACATTTCTAAGTTATTGATCACAATGAGAAATACGCACTTGTTTTAATATGTTTTGCATATACATCATATAATTCAAGATGACCTTTACCATCAAACTGATGAGAAGAAGAGGAAAATGACACCTAGACATTGGGAAACTGCGAAGCAAACGATAGAGAGGGATGCAAAAAAACAATGTGCAGGGTATCAAAGTGAAAGGAGACGTCTATTTCACCCCTGGGGTTTGTTCAGCTTCAAATTATAATGTTCCCCAAAGCTTCTTCTGATGTTGATAATGATGGAACTTCACATTATTATTAGTATTTATTGTCGCGTATCGCAAACATTTCCCGATTGAACGTCAATTATTTGTTTGGTAATATTTGGCTTTGACTTTTCCTTAATTTTGTAGATTGTAAACATAGGAAATGAAAGGAATTTAATACTAACACTCTCTATTATTAAAATCAACTCATTCGACAAAAGAGTAACTTTAGCCTGGCTTCTATTTAGTTGAGTAAAGAGATTGTTTGACTTAGCTTCTACTTGGTATATTTGTTATTTTAACTTTTTTCTGGTATGTAATTGTATAATGTCACTATAAACACCACGTTGACCTCCGTTTCTCGTTTTGTAAATTGTATTCTTTAGCTGTGCAATTGAAATTGAAGTTTTTCTGTAAATTTTTTTGTAGTGCGAGACACGGAGGACAATGTATCCTTAAGAAACTTTTATCAAGGTAAGTATTCTCAGTGGTTCATAATAAATGACATCGGGGATGATGTTCATAACACACGGATATAAATTTACATGGAACCTCAATGTGTTACCTCCCTGACATTGTGGAATAGAGACATTGTTTTATTAGTATCCATGTAGTTATTCGGGAATAAATGCAAATTTAAATAACAACGAACCCTTGATGATTTTAATTATTGAGATGACTTAATTCTATGACAAGGAAAACGTAGGTTCAATATGTGTTGTTGATTTATTCTCATGAACATTTTTGTCTGATGAATTTAATCATAAAGATATCCATGTATTTCAGGGCAGCGAAGAAAGGAAATCTTGGCCGTCGTATCGGATGATTTCATTCGTTTGTTTCGAAAGCATACTTTGTGCAATTTGCTCGGACAAATGTTAACCCTTCCAATTTTTTAAACTAATAACAATGAGAAATACGCACTTGTTTTAATATGTTTTGCATATACATCATATAATTCAAGATGACCTTTACCATCAAATTGATGAGAAGAAGAGGACAATGACACCTAGAAATTGGGAAACTGCGAAGCAAACGATAGAGAGGGATGCAAAAAAACAGCGTTCAGGGTATCAAAGTGAAAGGAGACATCAGTTTCATCCCTGGGGTTTGTTCAGCTTCAAGTTATAATGTTCCCCAAAGCTTCTTCTGATGGTGATAATGATGACACTTCACATTATTATAAGTATTTTTGTGCGTGTATCGCATACATTTTTCGATCATACGTCAAAAATTTGTTTGGTAATATTTGGCTTTGACTTTTCCTATATTTTGTAGATTGTAATGAAGGGAAATGAAACGAATTTTAAACTAACACTCCCTACTATTAAAAAACAACTCATTAGGCAAAAGAGTAACTTTAGCCTGGATTCTGATTAGTTGAGTAAAGAAATTGTTTGATTTTGCTTGTACTTGGCATATAGGTTAATGCAACTTTTATCTGGTATATAATTGTATGATGTCACTGCAAACACCACGGTGACCTCCGTTTCTCGTTTTGTAAATTTTATTTGTTTAGCTGTGCGATTCAAATTGAAGTTTTTCTGTTCACTTTTTTTGTAGTACGAAACACGGAGGACAATGTATCCGTAAGAAGCTTTTATCAAGGTAAGTATTCTCAGTGGTTCATTATAAAAGACATCGGGGATGATGTTCATAACACACGGATATAAATTTACATGGAACCTCAATGTGTTACTTCCCTGACATCATGGAATAGATACATTGTATTACTAGTATCCATGTAGTTATTCGGTAATTAATGCAGTTTTAAATTATAAAGAACCCTTGATGATTTAATTATTGAGATGACTTAGTTCTATGGTTAGGAAAACGTATGTTCAATATGTGTTGTTGATTTATTCTCATGAAACCTTTTGTCTGATGAATTTAATCATAAAGATATCCATTTATCCCAGGGCAGCAGAGAAATGGAACCTTTGCCGTTATACCGGATAATATTTTCGTTTGTTTCGAAAGTATGATATGTGAAATTTCCTTGGACAAATTATAACATTTCTAAGTTATTATTCACAAATAGAACTACGCAATTATTTTTATATTTCATTGACATGTACATCATATAATTCAAGATAACGTTTTCCGTCAAACTGATGAGGAGGAGAGGAAAAGTACACCAAGACATTGGAAAACTGCGATGCAAAATATACAGATGGATGCAACAAAACACCTTTTAAGGGAACAAAGTGAAAGGGGACATCCGTTTTACAGCTTGGGTTTGTTCAGCTTCAAGTTATAACGTTCCCCAAAGTTTCCCGATCGAACGTCATAAAATTGATTGGACATATTTGGCTTTGACTTTTCCTGATTTTAGTAGATTGTAATGGAAGGAAATGAGAATGATTTTAAACTGACTCCATCAGCTATTAAGATCAACTCATTCAGCAAAATAGAAAATGTACCCTGGCTTCCGATTGTTCGAGATGGAGATATTGTTTGTATTTGCTTATACTTAGTACATAGGTGTATTTAGCTTATTAAGTTTATGTCACAGCAAACAATACTGTGACTTCTATTTCTCGTTTTGTTAATTTTGTTTGTTTAACTGTTCGATTCAAATAGAGTTTTTCCTTTAATCTTCTGTAGCAGGAGACAAGGTTTACAACGAACGTAAATACATTTACATGGAATTCCAATGTTTCACGTCCCTGACATCATGGAATAGAGACATTGTATTATTATAATCTATGTAGTTTTTCGGAAGTTAATGAAGTTTTAAGTAACAACGGACCCGCGATGATTTTAATTATTGAGATTACTCTTATTATGACAAGGAAAATAATTATATTCAATATGTGTTGTTGATTAATTCCCATGAACGATTTTGTCTGATCAACTTATTCATAAAGGTATCCATTTATCCCTGGGCAGTGATGAAAAGAAAATCGGGTCGTTTTATCGGATAGTGTGTTTTCGTTTGTTTCGAAAGTATACTTTGTGTAATTTCCTCGGACAAATTACAACATATCTAAGTTATCAATCACAAACAGAAATACGCGAATGTTTTAATATTTGTTTGACATGTACATCATATAATTCAAGATGACGTTTACCATCAAACTGATGAGGAGAAGAGGAAAATAACACATGGACATTGGATATCTGGGGAGCACAGTTTAGAGAGGGATGCAACAAAACAACTTTCAGATGATCGAAGTGCAAGGGGAATTCAGTTTTACCACTTGGGTTTGTTCAGCTTTAAGTTATAACGTTCCCTAAAGTGATGACACTTCTCATGAGTATTAGTATTAACGGGCTTGTATGCCATACATTTCCCGATCGAACGTCAAATATTTGTTTGGAAATATTTGGCTTTGACTTTTCCTTTATTTTGTAGACTCTAATGGAAGGAGAAAAAAGGGATTTTAAACTAACGCTCCCTACTATTAAAAATCAACTCATTCGGCAAAAGAGTAACGTTAGCCTGGCTTCTGATTAGTTGAGTAAATAGTTTGATTTTGCTTGTACTTGGTATATAGTTTAATTCAACTTTTATCTGGTATATAATTGTATAATGTCACTGCAAACATCACGGTGACCTCCGTCTCTCGTTTTGTAAATTTTATTTGTTAAGCTGTGCGATTCAAATTGAAGTTTTTCTGTTCACTTTTTTGTAGGACGAGACATGGAGGACAATGTATCCATTGAAAGCTTTTATCAAGGTAACTATCCTCGGTGGCTCATTATAAATGACATCGTGGATGATGTTCATATCACACGGATACAAATTTACATGGGACCTCAATGTTTTACTTCCCTGACATCATGGAATATAGACATTGTATTACTAGTATCCATGTACTTATTAGGGAATAAATGCAATTTTAAATAACAACGAACCCTAGATGATTTTGATTATTGAGATTACTTAATTCAATGACAAGGAAAACGTATGTTCAATATGTGTTGTTGATTGATTCTCATGAAACCTTTTGTCTTATACATTTAATCATAAAGTGTCAATGTATCCAAGGGCAGCAGAAAAACGGAAACTTGGCCGTCGTATCGGATAATATCATTCGTCTGTTTTGAAAGTATCCTTTGTGCAATTTGCTCGGACAAATATAAACATTTCTAAGTTATTAATCACAATGAGAAATACGCACTTGTTTTAATATGTTTTGCATATACATCATATAGTTCAAGATGACCTTTACCATCAAACTGATGAGAAGAAGAGGACGAAAATGACACCTAGACATTGGGAAACTGCGAAGCAAACGATAGAGAGGGATGCAAAAAAACAACGTTCAGGGAATCAAAGTGAAAGGAGACAACAGTTTCACCACTTGGGTTTGTTCAGCTTCAAATTATAATGTTCCCCAAAGCTTCTTCTGATGTTGATAATGATGGAACTCCACATTATTATTAGTATTTATTGTCGTGTATCGCAAACATTTCCCGATTGAACGTCAAACATTTGTTTGTGAATATTTGGCTTTGACTTTTCCTTTATTTTGTAGACTGTAATGGAAGGAAATGAAAGGGATTTTAAACGAACACTCGCTACTGTTAAAAATCAACTCATTCGACAATAGAGTAACTTTAGCCTGGCTTCTGATTAGTTGAGTAAATAAATTGTTTGACTTTGCTTGTACTTGGTGTATATGTTAATTCAACTTTTATCTGGTATATAATTGTATAATGTAACTGCAAACACCACGGTGACCTCCGTCTCTCGTTTTGTAAATATTATTTGTTTAGCTGTGCGATTCAAATTGAAGTTTTTCTATTCACTTTTTTGTAGGACGAGACACGGAGGACAATGTATCCATTGGAAGCTTTTATCAAGGTAACTATCCTCAGTGGTTCATTATAAATGACATGGTGGATGATGTTCATATCACAAGGATATAAATTTACATGGAACCTCAATGTTTAACATCCCTAATATCATGGAATAGAAACATTGTATTACTAGTATCCATGTAGTTATTCGGGAATAACTGCAATTTTAAATAACAACGAACCCTTGATGATTTTAATTATTGAGATGACTTAATTCTATGACAAGGAAAACGTATATTCAATATGTGTTGTTGATTGATTCTCATTAAACCTTTTGTCTGACACATTTAATCATAAAGTATCATTCGTTTGTTTTGAAAGTATCCTTTGTGCAATTTGCTCCGTCAAATTTAAACATTTCTAAGTTATTAATCACAATGAGAAATACGCACTTGTTTTAATATGTTTTGCATATACATCATATAATTCAAGATGACCTTTACCATCAAACTGATGAGAAGAAGAGGACGAAAATGACACCTAGACATTGGGAAACTGCGAAGCAAACGATAGAGAGGGATGCAAAAAAACAACGTTCAGGGAATCAAAGTGAAAGGAGACAACAGTTTCACCACTTGGGTTTGTTCAGCTTCAAATTTTAATGTTTCCCAAAGCTTCTTCTGATGTTGATAATGATGGAACTCCACATTATTATTAGTATTTATTGTCGTGTATCGCAAACATTTCCCGATTGAACGTCAAACATTTGTTTGTGAATATTTGGCTTTGACTTTTCCTTTATTTTGTAGACTGTAATGGAAGGAAATGAAAGGGATTTTAAACGAACACTCGCTACTGTTAAAAATCAACTCATTCGACAATAGAGTAACTTTAGCCTGGCTTCTGATTAGTTGAGTAAATAAATTGTTTGACTTTGCTTGTACTTGGTGTATATGTTAATTCAACTTTTATCTGGTATATAATTGTATAATGTAACTGCAAACACCACGGTGACCTCCGTCTCTCGTTTTGTAAATATTATTTGTTTAGCTGTGCGATTCAAATTGAAGTTTTTCTATTCACTTTTTTGTAGGACGAGACACGGAGGACAATGTATCCATTGGAAGCTTTTATCAAGGTAACTATCCTCAGTGGTTCATTATAAATGACATGGTGGATGATGTTCATATCACAAGGATATAAATTTACATGGAACCTCAATGTTTAACATCCCTAATATCATGGAATAGAAACATTGTATTACTAGTATCCATGTAGTTATTCGGGAATAACTGCAATTTTAAATAACAACGAACCCTTGATGATTTTAATTATTGAGATGACTTAATTCTATGACAAGGAAAACGTATATTCAATATGTGTTGTTGATTGATTCTCATTAAACCTTTTGTCTGACACATTTAATCATAAAGTATCATTCGTTTGTTTTGAAAGTATCCTTTGTGCAATTTGCTCCGTCAAATTTAAACATTTCTAAGTTATTAATCACAATGAGAAATACGCACTTGTTTTAATATGTTTTGCATATACATCATATAATTCAAGATGACCTTTACCATCAAACTGATGAGAAGAAGAGGACGAAAATGACACCTAGACATTGGGAAACTGCGAAGCAAACGATAGAGAGGGATGCAAAAAAACAACGTTCAGGGAATCAAAGTGAAAGGAGACAACAGTTTCACCACTTGGGTTTGTTCAGCTTCAAATTTTAATGTTTCCCAAAGCTTCTTCTGATGTTGATAATGATGGAACTCCACATTATTATTAGTATTTATTGTCGTGTATCGCAAACATTTCCCGATTGAACGTCAAACATTTGTTTGTGAATATTTGGCTTTGACTTTTCCTTTATTTTGTAGACTGTAATGGAAGGAAATGAAAGGGATTTTAAACGAACACTCGCTACTGTTAAAAATCAACTCATTCGACAATAGAGTAACTTTAGCCTGGCTTCTGATTAGTTGAGTAAATAAATTGTTTGACTTTGCTTGTACTTGGTGTATATGTTAATTCAACTTTTATCTGGTATATAATTGTATAATGTAACTGCAAACACCACGGTGACCTCCGTCTCTCGTTTTGTAAATATTATTTGTTTAGCTGTGCGATTCAAATTGAAGTTTTTCTATTCACTTTTTTGTAGGACGAGACACGGAGGACAATGTATCCATTGGAAGCTTTTATCAAGGTAACTATCCTCAGTGGTTCATTATAAATGACATGGTGGATGATGTTCATATCACAAGGATATAAATTTACATGGAACCTCAATGTTTAACATCCCTAATATCATGGAATAGAAACATTGTATTACTAGTATCCATGTAGTTATTCGGGAATAACTGCAATTTTAAATAACAACGAACCCTTGATGATTTTAATTATTGAGATGACTTAATTCTATGACAAGGAAAACGTATGTTCAATATGTGTTGTTGGTTGATTCTCATTAAACCTTTTGTCTGACACATTTAATCATAAAGTATCATTCGTTTGTTTTGAAAGTATCCTTTGTGCAATTTGCTCCGTCAAATTTAAACATTTCTAAGTTATTAATCACAATGAGAAATACGCACTTGTTTTAATATGTTTTGCATATACATCATATAATTCAAGATGACCTTTACCATCAAACTGATGAGAAGAAGAGGACAATGACACCTAGACATTGGGAAATTGCGAAGCAAACGATAGAGAGGGATGCTAAAAAACAACGTTCAGGGAATCAAAGTGAAAGGAGACATCAGTTTCACCGCTTGGGTTTGTTCAGCTTCAAGTTATAATTTTCCCTAAAGCTTCTTCTGATGGTGTTAATGATGGAACTTCACATTATTATAAGTATGTATGGGCGTGTATCGCATACATTTTCCGATCGAACGTCAACAATTTGTTTGGTAATATTTGGCTTTGACTTTTCCTTTATTTTGTAGATTGTAATGGAAGTAAGTGAAAGTGATTTTAAACTGGTACTCTCTGCCAAACAAATAATAGCGATATCAAAACAGCATTCAATGGACAAAAGTGACAGGGGACATCAGCTTTACAGCGCAAGTTTATACAGCTTCAAGTTATAGAGTTCCCCGGCGTTTCTTCCTCTTCTTCTTTTTCTTCTTCTTCTACTTCTTCTTCTTTTGATGATAAACATGATGATGATGATGATGATGGAGGTGATGATGATGATGATGATGGGTTTTGTTGTATTTGGTAGATAATATAGATAATAAAGGAAGTAAATGAAAGTGATATAAAATGACACTGCGAAAACAATCAACTCAATCGGTAAACTAGAAGCTGTATTCCATTTCCAACCAACGTTTGTATGTAGATATTTTGTAAATAGCTTTGGATAAGCACAGTATAATTTTCGTGTTTTCCTCAGAAAATTTATATTTACACACACGATCTGTGATATTAATAATAATACAAACTGTTTGTTAATTTTTCATCTTTGAGGATATTTGTCAAAGAAAACGTATGTTAACTCGACTTCATTGAAAGACATGGCGACCTTTGGTTGAATTCTGATTGGTCATTATTCAGATATTGTTTTATATTGCTTATATTTGGTGTGTTTCCTTCCTTTCCCGATTTGACATGGTGATTCATAATTTATCTTCAAATGGCAGTAAATGTAGATTTTGCTTCAATTTGAGCGATAATTTATTGTAAAATTTTAACAAATTATGTTTTTTCAGTATCTAATATGTGTAAATCAAATGTGTACAATGGTTTCAACTTCACAAAAATCCTGCAAGGTAATTTTAGTTACCAATTTTCACTTTGTTCCCATAAATAATATCTACTAACAAAAAAACAGGTTTACTAAAATATCTGTCTGTAAAGGTTTTAGCTCACCTGGCCCGAAGGGCCAAGTGAGCTTATCCTATGCCGCAGCGTCCGTCGTCCGTCGTCCGTCAACTTTTTCCTTCAAAACGCTACTAGTCCTGAACGGCTCAGAGGATTTTGACCAAATTTGATCTGGAGCATCATTGTTCAAAGGGTTCTCAGTTTTGTATAAACGGAGGGTATGGTCCACCTGGAGGCAGAGGGGCGGGGCCAAATAGGGGGAAAATAGGTAAATCTTTGAAAATCTTCTTCTTCTCAAACAATAGAAGGATTTTGACCAAATTTGTCCTAGAGCATCTTTGGACAACGGATACTCAGGTTTCTATAAACGGAGGGTGTGGCCCCTTTGGGGGCGGAGAGGCGGGGCCCAATAAGGGAAATAGAGGATTTTTTTTTCTCCTGCTATACAAATGAAGGGATTTAAACCAAATGCAGTCTGAAGCATGATAAGGGACAAAAGAATCAATTTTGTATAAACTGAGGTGTGTGGGCCCCCTTCTAGGGGCAGATGGGTGGGGTCAATTAGGGGAAATAGAGGAAAACATCCAAGATCCTTCTCCCTTTGTACCGATGAAGGGATTTTGACCAAATTTGGTATGGAGCATCATTAGCCAAAGGGTTCTCCGTATTGTATAAACGGAGGGTATGGCCCCCCTAGGGGCAGAAGGACGGGACAAATAGGGGGAAAATAGGTAAATCTTTAAAAATCTTCTCCTTCTCAACCAATTGAAGGATTTTGACCAAATTTGTTCTAGAGCATCTTTGGACAAAGGAGACTCAAGTTTGTATAAACGGGAAGGTGTGGCCCCTCTGGGGGCGGAGGGGCGGGGCCCAATAGTGGAAATAGAGGATTTTTTCTCCTATTATACAAGTGAAAGGGATTTACACCAAATGCAGTCTGAAGCATGATTAGGGACAAAAGAAACAATTTTGTATAAACTAAGGTGTGTGGGCCCCCTTCTTTGGGGCAGATGAGTGGGGCCCATTAGGGGAAATAGAGGAAACATTAAAGATCCTTCTCCTTCTGTACCGTTGAAGGGATTTTAACCTAACCAAACTTGTTCTAGAGAATCTTTGGGCAAAGGAATTGAATATTTATAAATGGAAGATGTGCATGGAAACTCATTTTCTTGGTGTCTTTCCCACCAAAACAGATTTATATGTAGTTCTTCTTGCAACTTCGTTTTTTGTACTCCTTTGATAAACCTGAATGTTACTCAGCAGGTTTTAGATTGAAAAATAAAATACCAGGTGAACTATTAAGGCCCCTGGGCCTCTTGTTTTAAGTTTAAAATTACCTAAACAGGTTATCCATCGAAAATCCGTATTAAAACATCCTTTCATTCTTCAAACCAATAAAGGGCCAGTCACACCTTGGCGATTTGGGTCGCCGGAGCTATATCGGAGCACAAATTTGGCGATTTCCGTGGATCGGTACTAGTACGGCAGCGAAACGGTATCAAATCGCTAAGAACGGTAGTACTTCGTCAGAACATCGGCGAAAAATTTAGCAACGGCAGGCGACGGTAGAAATTTGTGAACTTGCGTTGTTGCGCTGCTGGAGGGTTCAGGAGCTACACCCATCCTTTATATTTCTGATTTGTTACAATGGACACGTCTGACAGTGTAAATAAAACTGTCATTGTCACGATCAAATGTGAATAATATGATAGTTTAAAAAAATTGTTTCGTTGAAAAAATTGCTTTAGATGTCGGCTGATATCGGGATACGAAAAATTAAATGGAAATACGAAATAGAAAAGAATTCTGCAGGGATCGCTCTAGTTGATGATGTTCAATTCAATAGGTTTCACAACACTGATCTTGATTTTGTTTTAAAACACAATTTTCATAAACAGGAACTTCATTAGTTTGGATTTATTGGCTGTCTCGATTGCCATGTATATGCTAAAACTGGAAGGTTTATCTTGAAAATAGTGTACCACAAGTAAACTCATTACGAGTCTTGGATCCACCCATGAAGATACATTTTTGTTAAAAAAGCTGCTATACAAATTACTTCAAAAATAATAACACTTTATTATTCATCAATTTCATCCAAAAACTAATATCGTATATGATGCACATACATTTTTAAATAACATCGTCAGTTTTCGGTCCAGGTTACTACATGTAGCCTAAGGTAAAATACAGTTAACCGCTGTTGAAATTTACTTTTTGTTCTTTTAACACTTGAGACAAAAGGAAACGCGCCGGTATACCAAACTACTTGTGTTAGTTGGAGGATCGGTTATAAATGCCCTTTGGCCATGACATTAACAGGTAATACCTCGGAGGTAATTAGTTCACCTGTTAATTAACAGATAGGTATCATAAATGCCCTTTGGCTATTTCCATTAATTGGTAAGAACTACAGGTATTTAACATACCTTTTAATTCACATGCATGCTATTTAGAAGTGTAAACTGTATATTACAATCCCTTAGCTTGAAGTTACATTGAATGTAGTTGATGCAGGCACGGAATTAGATCTTTCGGAGAAGAACATTATTGATGTCTTTATTTGCCGATCTATGATTTTACCTTTACAACATATATTGGTTGCTGTCATTACTTACACGGTTATGCAGACAATATATAAATATGACACGTAAAGGGCGTGTCAGAATGGGTACGCGTAATGAACAGGATATCGGATAAGTTGTGCCACTGTGACGTCACACACCACGTGACATCGTTCCGAGTTTAAAATATGCATATTCACTAGGCTGATATAGATTTGGCGTCACCTGGCCTGTCTATCATCTGAGTACCGAGAGAGACGGTAAGATCCTTCTAGGAAATAGAGGAAAAAGAAACATTCAAATTTCTCAGAATGCTTTCTAATTTCTGTAGTTAGTTATGGTTGATATATCGAAGCTTATCTTGTGATCCATCTGGTCGAAAACCAGTTGGCATTTTTATTAAATAGTATATTATATATTGTTGTTAAACACATACAAAAGATATCATGATGACAAAGATAGACAGAGAGAAAGAAGAAGGAAAAAATCAAAGGACTAATCACAAAGACCAGGAGATCATTCCCTTTTCTTACCACATCAAGAAGGTTAAATAGATGAAGTAAAATGACAAATCAGTTCAATTATATACATATGAAAAAAACTGAGGGAAGAAAAAATGAATTTAACTAAAGATCAGGGACCCCCGTCGTAAGATCTTTATTTGTGCTATGCAAGATTTACTTTTCTTTTTTATTTCCTTATCTTTTGGATTGTGCCATGTACATCTTGAGGTATTTTTTAATGAGCATTTTATATTACTGTTGGACGTCATTCTTAACACTCGAAGAAAGGTTGTCATTTGACCTTTTTATTAGCATAATTACTAATTTAGACATATGTAAAAGGGAAACTTTACCAGTCAAAGCCAATATACCTGCCTAGTAGCCATCTCGATTGTCCAATTAGTCTAAATATTCAAAATAACCACCTATCATTTATCGTTGTTTTCCGATCAACACAAAAACGCACAACTACCTATAGGTACATGATAAGTTTGCGAGATACCCCTTCTGTAATTTCTACGAAATAGCGCTAACAATGACTGTTTAAAAACGGTCGATGATGATGTTGATGCTTATAATGATGATGATCAAGTATATGCTTTTGTCATTTCTTAGATATTGTGTAAACATCTGTGAAAATAAAACAATTGCAGAATCTAAAAACAAAAAACGTTGACGAACAGAAGGAAACCCCCGGACACAGGGCAATCTGACGTTTGATGATGGTAGGCTGAAAAAGAAGCTTTACAGATCAAATGAAGGTTTATGTAAAATCATCTACAGATTTTATATGCTCTGTAAGTTAAACAAAAACTATTATTATTATTAGTTTTATTCTCTTATTGTTTCAAATATTTTGTTTAAAGGAACGACTGAATCATCCAGCAAGAGCACATTTCCAGATGTAAGTTAAATATGATATTTTTAATGGCGATTAAAAGTTAGTTTAGTTAATGTCACAATTGTGTTAAAACGTTAGGCATACTTGAAATAAACATATATCACAACTTCTAAATGCAAATGGACAAGATCTGAATTTAAAAAGAAAATAAACAAATGGACCGAAACATACTTAAGTTTTAAACTTGGATTCCTCAATAAAATAATTTGGATTTCAAGCAAGGATAATATTTTAGTACGTGTTGGACATCAGTATCATGAAAGCAATAGTTGCTTGATGTGTAAGTTCAAACAGTATTAGACATGGAACATTTACGACAGGAACGTACATATATATTTATATTTACATTTGCGCTCCAACCCACTATATGATTTGAGGATGAAAGCAAAAAATCTCGTGACGTAACACGTGGTTTACTTCATAGATTAACCTTGTTTAATGACAGTCTTTTCACTTCGCTTCGAATAACATGGAGAATGCCCCTGCGTCAAACGCTCAAATGACGACGGTGAAATATTGGCGCAAAGTTTATTTAAATTTGAGGTTTTTGAAGTAAAACCAATTTTCATGATGTAATACTTACCATAACTTTAGTATGCATATACAATACCTACACCCATCTTTGTAGCCCAAAAACAAAAGATTCAAATATCCCTACCTCCCTACCGTGACGTAACCTCTATCTCGATGACAGAGCCACGGAGTGATCTCCCTTCCTCAAACCCCCTTTTATGGAGCCTAAAGGCAGCCAGGATGAGGAGGCAAGGGGAGGAATACAGGGTGGGACTCCATAAAGTTATGGTAAGTATTACATCATGAAAATTGGTTTTACTTCAAAAACCTCAATTTCATTTCAGTAATAATTACCATAACTTTAGTATGCGAATTCGTCTTACCGTAGTGGAGGCTTCGAATCCAGGCAGACCAGGCTGACGGAACAAACTCGAGACATGCTCAAGGTAGGGAAAAGGTTCAAGGAACCCCCCTAATAAAGCCCCGAAAGTAATTAAAAAATGGAAAACCTCCCCGTGAAACGAGCAGGTGTACCACCGTGGTGCCTGATAGCATACTATTTAAAATCACTGAATTACTGTGGAGGAACAGCCACAGACTGTGCAACCACCACCGGTCCAAGGGAATACAATCCATCAGAATGAGAGGCCAAGGACCGGAGATAAAAATCCGTGAAGGTAGTCTGTCCGCGCCAGAAAGCTGCGGACATGACCTCCTGAAAGGGGGACCCATTGAGGAGGGCCCATGACGCAGCAAGGGCCCTGATCTCATG